AGGATAACAGAAAAGAGCTTTGACAAAGGAACCATTGCTAAAACCGGCCAGTTCTCCCTCCTCCTCTTTTATTCCATTGGTATCATTTGACTAATAATTCCCTATCAATTTTTAAATGGAAGATGGTAGGAATACTCTTTTAGGGTATGTCCCTCCCGAAAGGTATATATAACTGCTACTCTGAGTAGCAGATCCTAGCATTTGACTTTTAAAGGGCTGAACCACCTAGCATTTTCTTTTCAGTTCAGGTCTCAGGTATGTTTGTGATAATAATAATCATATTGATGATGGCAGTGGCATTTATTTATTGAGGGCTATTCCGTACCGCATGCCCTGGGCTAACGTCGTTATGTGTGATCTTGGGTACTAGTCACCTTAGTAGTCAGGTGGTGTTTCCATTTTACAGATGAAACTACTGAGTCCCAGAAAGATCAGGCCACTTGCCCAGGGTTCTGTTGCTAAAGGTTGACATGGACTCCAGCTACAGAGGCTGATCTCTGCCCCGCACTGTCTTCTACATGCTGGTTTTCACACTCAGGTCACCCTGGATAGCCCCTTATGTGAAGTGCCGCAGCGACACTTGCAATTTTGCTGGATTTGTATGACCATTCGATTGTTGCTGCAGTCTTGCCCACTCTTTTGCTAGTGGCACCTGGCACATAGCAGGTGTGTTAGTGATTATTTATTGGGTGGACATGTGATCAATTTGAGGTGAATAAAAGGAAACTTTGAGGGGAGCATAGCACACACAAAAAAAGAGGTCCAGCAAGAGATGAGTGGAAGGAGATTCTGCAGAAGTGGAGGACTCATCAGGGCCTGCTGTAAAACGGGGCTGGATTAAGCTGGTGGACGACTGCCAGATGCCAGTGTATGAAAGGAGCAGTATTTCCTCAGGCTGAGCTTCTCAGGGTTAAGCCCTTTTTCTTATACTTTTAACACACTTTAACCACACTTAACCATGCATTTGGAGAGGATTATAGATTTATGTTAAACATAGTAGGATATAAAAAGGAGCTTTGTAAGAGTGCATGCAGGGTTAGAGAACTGTAATATCAGACCAGGGACTTTTTTTTTTCTTTTCCTAAGCCATTGTTTACTGAGCTAAGTGCCATGCCAAGCTTTCACTGGGCATGAGTTATCTCATTGAGTCTTCACTGCGACCCTGTGTGGATAATCATTATTCATACTCCCATTTCTTAGATCCGGACACTGAACCCTAGAATAGCAAGGTCATTTGCTCAGAATCCCACACAAGCAAGTACCTCCAGGATCGGAATTTGAACCCAGAACAGCCTGAGGTTTGTCATTACCCAAGTCCAAGTGTACATTGCCTCCTTTCCAGACACTCTCGTAGGAACTGTTGCTGCTCTTAGAGAGCCTCACTCGGTGAAGAAATTGTGTTTCAGTGTAGGAGTGAATGACCTGAGAAGTCAGGGGACAGTGAAAGTTGACCTTTTGTATAAGGCAAAAGCAACTTTCAAAACCCTGCCTGTGTGTAGCCTCACATGGCTGTGTATTAGACACCATGAAATACACAAGAGCCAATTCCTTTTTTGGGAGAACACGTCCCACTTGGGGGTGTTCACTAGTGCAAAGAAATGGCCAAACTCTAAATTATTTCCCCCATGCCTCTTTCACCTCCCAGTGTATGTTGAGCCTCGTTTATAAAGGTCCTGCTTAGAGGATGCTGCTCTTGTATGGTCACCTGGGCTGCCACTAGAGGTAAATTATTGCCCTTGCACAGATACGGGCCCTGGTTTTCTCTAGAATGAGTATGCTGGCTTAGATGACCTCCTAGCTAGAACATTCTGTGGTTGTCTCAAAAAGCTGGAAATGCAAACTCAGCGGCTTATGCCTGGGCAGGTCACTGCAGGCTGAGAGAAGCTCAGCCCTGATGCCACGAGCAACGCGGGCCCAGCATAGCGCATGGTCCAATTATTACGTACAAGAGAGTGGAAATTCAGACCTTTCCCCAATTTTTTGTGTTGGCCAAAAAAAAGAAAATGTTTTTAAAACTGGCATACCTGCCAACTAAAACTCCTCTGAGAGTGGCTGTAATTCCCCACCCCCTTTCCAGCTGGTAAGCTCTGGGAGAGCAGGGCCCTCGGTATGCCTCATGGATGGCCTTTGTTTTCCACTCCAAATCCTGAACTCTCAAGGGAGAAAAGTTTGCTTTTCTACTCTGATAATGATAATCGAGACCTAAGGGAATGGGGGTTTTGAGCTGCATTGAGGAAGCGAGCTCAGTGGGAAAACTAAGAGAAATTCACTTGTGTAAGTCAAAGAGCTTAACCTATAAAATCATATAACCTGTTGAGTTTTCCTGTCAAGTTTAAGAGTTTTAGACTGTTATTACATTGGGGGACTTTTATGATTATGTTCATATTTATAGTCTAACGTCTCTGAATCTTAGTTTTCTCATTTTAAAACAAGTGTGCACAGGGCTCCAAGGTCTCTTCTGTATGTATCATCAGCTGAACTCTTTTCATTGCTTTTGAATTGTGTTAATGGAAATAAACACAGTTAACTTGCCAGTAGGCCTAGGATACCATGGCCTCTCCCATCAAGCCATCTGGATTCTTTAGAAGCTTCATCTTTGGAATTACATAAATACCCTAAAGAGTATGTGAGTATGTATGTATCTCCATGCAAATATATTCATAAGCAGAGTTATATAGAAGTAGAGATTTAATCTAGAAATTGTGTTGTGATAGGATTCATCATCATTATTAGAAGGCAAGAAAATACATTTTCCAGTTGAAGAACATGGGCCTCAGTGAGGTTAAATGGCTCTCACAAGTCACAGGCTTACTTAGCGTGGGAGTGGGGCCAAAGTCTTGTTGTCCACTCACCCAATCCCTACAACTTCTTTTGTACATGTTTTTCCGCGCATCCTAAGCTTCAAAATTAGAGTTGGTACTCTCCGAGACACCTCACCTCTTATTTTACTCAACCTTGTTTATCTAACTGAAGCTGTATTTGTCCTTTTAGAATTAATGTATGCTGTCGATCAAGGATAGGAAGACTATTTTGAGGATGTTGTTCCATTTTGTTTTTTCAGTTTATATGTGTCGCACCAAATTACAGTCAATTTACAACTAGCTATACAAAGTAAGAGTTTGTTGGGAATCACACAAAAAAATGTGCAGTAACTGGTTTATAATTTTCTTTGGTCTTTTTTTTTTCTTCTTTTAAATTCTAGAAAGTGACTTCAGTCTCATGCAATCCTTTAGTTGTAATAAAGACTACAGGGTTGCACTGGCTTCCCCCACCCCCCCTTAAATTTTCTTCCTCTGAACCCCTTTCTTCATTTGTCAGCTCAGTTTTAAAATAGAAACTATCAGTGCGAACTTTGATCCACATTAAGCTGCATTTACACGAAAGCATAAATCACCAGATCTGGGGCTTGGGGCTGTTAAATGCTTTCCTTTCTCGGGCTCTGTGATCAAGAATGAAGAACAATAAAAAGCATGGAGCAAAAGGAGTTTTATGGCAGCTTGGAGAGCAGGAAATTAACTTTCTTTAGTGTGCAGTTGGATAAAGGGCTGTTCTGTCGCATCTTGGATCACTCAGGCAAGTGAACGTCGCTGTATCATTTTAGTGAAATGCAAACTGTAGAAATGGTTCCTCCAGTCATGTGAACAAGAAGCCCACACAGATGACTGCTTCAGCTATTGAAGGAGCACACTTCCTCATATGACTTCTCTTGAAAAACACTGTGTGTGTGTGTGTTTTAAAAAAGAACAAAGACTATGCACTATTATGTCTGTATAAAATGTTGATTTCTTACAAATGTTAACTGAGAATATATGAACAGACTAAGATGGGATTTTACCAGAAGAGCTTTCTCTGTATCCTTTTTACACATCTCCTGTGTCAGTCCAACTGATAAGACATATAAAAAAATATCATCTCTTGTCTGTCAGTGGCGTCTCTATGCGGCCTGAGGACACAGGTGATCTGGAATCTTGTGCAGAGATGTTGTGCATTTGGCTCTTTCACATGTGACAACCTGTCAGCAGGGCCAGAGCTTTTCTGTAGCAGTCACAACAGTTACAATGGGTGGAAGGAATGGATGAGTCTGTTGGCGACCTACCTACTTAGTACATATGTAGCTTTTGGTTTCATTAGTGGCCTGACTCCTACATTTTTTATGGTGAAGAACACCTTTGCTGTTGTCCTCAGGATTGGGGTGCAAGGGAGCAGTTGCACCGCAGGGTCTCGTTTTGGCTGACATTTCTCTTTCCTGAACATAGAGTTGCTAAGTCCTGATCAAAATCATCAGGGATCTTTACAGGTTGAAGCACTAAAGGACTTGTGCATGGGGGAGCTCAGATTCTGTTGAGCACATGCATTTATGGGTATTTCTCCATTTCTATGAACGCTGTCAAACTTTGCAGTAGAACACTTAGTTAAAAGTTGATGCCTAATACATGCTAATAATATCCAGTTTCTGTGTTTCTGTGTGTGTAATCAAGTTTATGATTTTATATGTTTGGCAGAGTAAGTTAATCTGTTTTAGTAGTGATTGAATTCATTATGGTTTATAAAGTACTTTGAAAACAATTTAAATCTATCTCTTATGCTTAAATGTCCAGTGATGCCTATATGGATATTTATTGGAGTTTCTCCTTTGGAAAATGTTGTTATGTTTAAAATACAGTTTCATGACAAGTGGGAAATAGTCTTCATTTTGCAAAGCGTATTTCCTTCATATCTCTTGAGGCTAAAGCTTGTCAATTGGTGAATTTGTAAGGACCCCAAAGGCCTGTCTGTGACCCAAGAAGCTAGAGCTCCAATGTTTACTGTGTCATGAACAACGAAAATGCTTATTTCTCTTCTACTTTGTATGTTGGCACCATGAAAAGCACACTCAAAGCATATTATAATTGCAAATAGAATTTGGAATGGTGATGTATTCTGGAAGTGATGTAAACAGATTGCATTGAAAAGAGCTCCAAGCACGTAGCGCCGCTGCAGTAAGCCTGTCTGTCTTTCAGGTTGACCCCCTGTTTACAGTGCCAGCACCTCCGCCGCCGATTGCCAGCAGTCTCACGCCTCAGCTTCTGCCCTCCTACTTTCCCCCATCTTCATCCAATATTGCAGCACCGGTTGAACAGCTTTTGGTTCGGACTCGTTCCGTGGGTGTCAATACATGTGAAGTTGGCGTAGTGACAGAGCCAGAGTGTCTCGGGCCCTGTGAACCCGGAACCAGTGTGAATTTGGAAGGGATCGTGTGGCATGAAACGGAAGAAGGTAAATACAATTTATTCTTATCTATTCCCTCATGTCCTCTTCCCGGTGATGTCTCTGTGTCTACCTGTAATGGGGATTTGCTTTGTGGTATTCAGAGAGGAAAGAAAAGTGGTTTTGATGCGCTCTTGATTTTTGTTGAAATAAGAGCCGTGTTTCTGTTTTTGTTCGTGGCTGCTTTTCCTTTCATTTAGGAGCCGTCTGGTGTCTGTCTAAGTGGTTCTCCACTTTAAGTGCTTTAACTTGGAAGGACTCTGAGAAGCAGGGTGAAGGTTACCTTTTCTCCTAGGAGGTATCATGGAAATTAGAACGGGCAACAGATCTCAAATTCATTTTGTTCTTGGTTTGCCAACTGAGCTGTCTTGAGGTGGTTGTTTTTGTGTTGTTGAGGCTTATATTTACCTTCTGAATCGAGCCAGTGTTCCTACATTTAGCAAGGGCCATTGCTGTGATTTGACGGTGGCCACTTGTTGCTTACAGTTAATGAAGCCAAGGTCCAAGGTGCAAGCTGCAGTTGAGTCAGTCAGTTCTTTTCTGTGGCTGGAGACATAGCACCTTCCTGGTCCCCCAGTTCAGAAGCAGGCCCTCTGGCAGGTGCTGTCCATTAGTCATGAGACCCAAGGTGCAAGAGAAATAGATTGGGTGAATCTCTCATTCCTGCTGGAAGTACACATCAGGTATGTGTCATACTGACAGTGGATCCAGACATGGTTGGCCACATCTCACAGTACATGGTCATCAAGTACAGCATGTTTCATATGGCCAGTGCCCTTGACAGAGGCCAGTAGATAATTAATACAAACTAAATATGAAGGAGAGAGCTCCACTGCTCCATTGCGGGGTGCTTCTTGCCGTGGGGAAAGAAGCATGCCCCAGGGTATACCAGGGGACCAATGGAAAGTAAAAAACATAGGGGAACGTTTTTACTCTGAGCTAGATTGGTCAAGAGTGAGGAGCTGACCCTTATCAGTACCACTGTCTTTTAGGAGAGGAGTTCAGAGCAACGATAAAGGTAACAAGAAGGACCTGAGATGTAAAATCATTGGATTCCTCTGTATCACAGGGGAGAACTGGGGGCTGAAACTCAAAGGAGAAGAAATTAAATACATGCCGAAGAGGCTGAGTAGATGGGAAAGGACAATATATTGGGGGTAATTGTTGGGAAAGAAATGGTTGGGAGAAAATAGTTAAGAATGGTGACAAACTAGGGAATGAGAGTAAAAATGACTGAAAATAAGCATAACTGTGAGAAGGCAAAAAAATAGCTCAGGCTGTTCCAAGACGGCAAAACAAAGCTTCTAAGGAAAATAATTGGATTCTACATATTACATTGAATTTACTCTTCTTGTAGGATGGATTTCATCATTAGACAGAAAATTTGGTAGATAGCATCAGTATGGAAAAATCAAGATTGGATTCTATAGGAAGCAGCCATGAGAGGGCATAAACGCAGCAGATCCGGAGAGCTCTATTATTTGCTCAAAAAGAACAGACAGTTAAAATTTACTCTTGATTTTAGAAACGTGGGAGGTTTTGCGTCTTCTCCCTCTTTGTACCTTAAACTGGAAAGCCACTTAAATCAGTACTACACAACCACATTGTGAGGAATCGGTGTCAGAGGAGCTGGAATTAAACCTCTGTCATTTGCTTGTCTGTTCAGACCCCGCCCAGTGCAGGGGGTCCACGTGGGGAGCTGGCTTCTCCTTCCTTGCCTCTGGGTTGTGCACGGTTGATCTTCCCTTAGATTTTTTTTTTCCTAGAGCAGAAGTGATGGATAAGGGCTGCAGACTGGCATCTCCATGAGAAAACGTAGAAAAGACTTCAAGACGTTATTAAGATTAATTAGTGGAGGTGCTTATTTTCCAGTATAAAACAGATTTGAAAAGAGTAAGGATTAATTTACATCAAGTTGAAAGTCAGATTGTCTTGTACTTGGATAACTGACTCCTTAGGATGAAGCACTGTCTTCCACTTTCCTAGCTGTGACTTAGCGCCTGTCAGTTTATAGTGCGTCAAGATTTTATTTATTTCAGTGTGGGATAGGACAGGTTCCTGCAGTGTGACCTTCCTGCATGGTAGATGCTGTAAAATTAAATTAAAAATCCAGAAGGTTTTTGTGGTTCTGAAACAGCTCTAAGTTTAGGTGGTTTGTTTGTTTTTTTCACTTTGTTTAGGAGTCTGCTGATTTTTTTCTTTTAACCTTGGCCTTTAGTAAAAGATGGGCTTCCCTGGTTGTTCAGAGGGTAAAGCGTCTGCCTGCAATGCGGGAGACCTGGGTTTGATCCCTGAGTCAGGAAGATCCCCTGGAAAAGGAAATGGCAACCCCCTCTGGTGCCTCTGGTTCTCTTGCCTGGAAAATCCCATGGACGGAGAAGCCTGGTGGGCTGCAGTCCATGGGGTCGCAAAAAGTCGGACACGACTGAGTGACTTCAGTTTCACTTTAGTAAAAGATGGGATTATTTAGAAAAAAAAGAAAATCTGTGTTTGAAAACAATAGCAGTATATATGTTGATTAGAAATTCTGATGCTCTGGGCTTTTATCATCATTAGTGTTTAGAACTGATATGCATAAAGCCTCCCCAGTTCCTTGCCGTTCTCTGAAAATCCGTCTCCGGAGTCCACTGTGTCTTCTCTGATCCTCTGTGATCCCTGAATCCCTGTGGGTGACTTCCTTCAGATGGCAGACAGTTTTAGAAGCTTCTCAGGCAGAGTAGTGGAGTCTTCCACAGCTCCAGCCTCCTCTGAATTGCCTCACATTCTCCAGGATTTGGAATGTGTGGATGTTTACTGTGGTGACAAGGAGATGGAGCTGTTAATAGAGTTATTCTTGCTGAATAAACTAAACTTCTGACCTCCATAGAACTTAAGAACTTGCCTTGGTAGAGACCTGGGTCATAAGATGTGTGTTTAATGTGTAACCATTTTCAAGAGCATTCCATTTGCACTTTTTTTGTTTTTTTTTGGTACAGTGTGTTTAAAACTCTTGTACCAATTTAAAAATTAAACCCACTTGACCATTAATTTTTCCCTTTTGGGAAAAACAAAGAGAGAAGCGGAACAAACACATTTGGAGCCAGTTATTTGACGGAGCTAAAAGAGATGGATTTGGGGAGAAGTGAAGGGAAAGTGAGCCTCTTTTTTTCTAGTACTAGGTTTCACTAACAAAGAGTTTCAGATCAAGCACTTGTAAAACTGTCAGTTGCCTTTGACTAATGTTATAGATTGAGTTGAATGAAATCTCTTCCTTGGTATTTTCAATTTGAAGATATTGTATCTCTGGTAGTGTTTTTCACAAACCCAATTTATGTGCATTCACCCATGTGTGAAGTTTGTATGCGCTTGTTCCAAGATCCTAGAAATTTTAAAAGGCCCCATTTGCAGTCTTTGGGGAATATCAAGTGTTCTTGTGATTTCATTGGAAGATGGTAGGAGCAGCATAACTGAAATAGGTGCGTTATGGTTTCTTATGCTTGGAATTCTTCATTTGAGGAGGGTTCTTTTAATCATAGACTTTCCCGCTTGTGTTACTGCCAGAGACTGCACTCAGGAATAAAGTGTTAGGAGAGAGGTTCCCTCTGGAAATAATTAGTGGGTTTCAGATCATGCTTAATAGGAGAGAAAAATTATTACTGCATTTGGATGTATAGTTACTCCACTCTGATCTTTCTTCTTTAAGGTGAATGCATAGGAGCAATGACGTATTGTACAAAATCACTCGCAGATGTTAGAAAGAATTTCCTTAGCATTTCATTCCTGACATTTGGGACACACATGCCGATGTATAGTTATTTGTTTGAAAATTTGCTCTTTTGGGGGGGAAAGCAAAGAAAACATGGTGTGTACCTCATTTTCTATAAATACATGTGTGTTGAGCTTGGTTTTTTTTTTTTTTTTTTTTTTTTTAAGCTTTCGAGCCTGTATTTTCCTTTTGATTCTTATTGAATCCTGTTTCTTATTGTTTTTTATTTTTTTCCCTCCCCGAGAACATACTTTTCAGCTGGGTCCACTGTTCATTGTTATGACTGTCGTTTACCATGGCTCTGCCATTCTGTCCTGAAGAAAAGGAAGTGAGAGAAAGCAAACTGGTTATTTGTCAGTGAAGGCCTTTTAAACATCTGTAGGTTATATATCAATGGTTCTCAACTTTGTGCCTGTGAATCACCTGGAGAGCTTTTAAACCACACTGATACCCAGGCATCCCCTTAGTCTGGGCTGGCAATTTGGTGACCTGCCACTGGTATTTTTTTCCAACTCTCCCCAGGGGTTTCTAATGTATAAACATTTATGAGAACTATTGTCTCAAGGGAAAGAGGGGATGTCCTGGCCCTTTGCACGCTGCTTGGCTTTTTCCCTTTAAGGAAGTCACATGTACCATTGCCTCATATTCTCAGGTATGAAATGGACAGAAACACCTGCCCTGTGTACCTCACAGGGTGGATAATGTCTATCAAGATGCCGTAGTGTGACCGGTGAGCATAGCTGTTTAATGACTGTGCTAATGAGAAAGAGGGCCCAGCTTTGATCCTGAACATGAACCCCACAGAGGTTTTGAGGGGCTTAATGAACAATTAGTTGTTGTATCACTCATCCTAAGTCATTAATACAGTGAGGCAGACCTTAGTTTCTTTCTCCAGTAAGCCAGATACTGTGACTTCATTTCTGTGTGGCCTGCTGAGTTATTTTTGAAATAGTTCAGAAACCCAAAGTATTAAGGAAAGTTGATAAAAGTAGAAAATGAAAGATTGTACTCAAAACATTGGGAGTTTTCAGAGGGGATAACAAGAATAAAAATTATGACTTATGAGAAAAGAGACTTCCCTGGTAGCTCAGATGGTAAAGTGTCTGCGGGAGACCCAGCTTCAATCCCTGGGTCAGGAAGATCTCCTGGGGAAGGAAATGGCAACCCACTCCAGTACTTTTGCCTGGAAAATTCCATGAACAGAGGAATCTGGTAGGCTACAGTCCAGGGGGTCACAAAGAGTCGGACACAACTGAGCGACTTC